GCCCCAGGGAGCGTGCCCGGCCCGCAGTTTAGCCCCGGGTCCCTGCCCATCATTTCCGTGCTGTGCCCTGTGTCCCGCACCTCCGGAAGCTGTTGGGCTGAGCGCGTTTAGGTCCGGGGAAGGGTGGCCCAGGGACAGGAATCGGACACTCCCCTCCTGCGGGGTGGGTTCTTTGGTGTGCAGCTCGCCAGACTGTGACAGGCCCGTAAAATGAGATCTTTTCCCAGAAAAGCAGAAATCCTTGCTTCGTTTTTTTTTTTTTTTTAATTTTGGTTTTTTGAGACAGGGTCTCAGTATGTAGTTGACTGACCTGGAACTCACTATGTAGCCCAGACTGGTCTCGAACTCGCAGCGATCCTCCTGCCTCAGCCTCCTGAGTGCTGGGATTACAGAAGTGCACCACCACGCCCGGCTTTTTTTTCTTTTTTTTTTTTTTGACAGGGTCTCACTATATAGCTCGGGCTGGCCTCGAACTTGTGGCAATCCTCCTGCCTCAGCCTCCCAAGTACAGGGATTACAGATGCACATCACCTCATCCAGCTCCTAACTTTTTATATTTTTGAGATAAAATTTCTATGTATCAGAATATTGTGATTTTAAAAACATAAAGGCTGCAGAAAAGCGTGGCCCAGGTAGCGGTCACGGTGCGAGGGGCAATCTGGACCGTGTCACGGCCGTGTCCCCGCAGCGAGCAGCCGCTGGAGTGCCTGCTGACCCACTGCGTCAAGGTCCCCATGCTGGTCCTGGACCCCGCGCTGCCGGCCCACAGCTCCCTGAAGGACCTGCCTGCCCTGTACCCCGCCTTGCGCGCAGCCAGCGACCTCTTCCACGTGGCCAAGCCCAAGAACCCTTCCACCAACGTGTCTGTGGTCGTCTTCAACAGCGCGGGGGACGGTAAGCGCTGGCCAAGGCCCCTGGGCCCCGCTGTGACAGCGCGGGACGGTGGAGTGCTGAGTGTGCAGAAAGGACTCGGGTAAAGAAGCGTTGCTAGGAGATGACGGTGGCGTGGTCACGTGACCGCTGCCACAGTACCTGTGTCCCTGGGCTGTGCACGCGCAGGGCCTGGGTCTGGGCCTCCGCGCCGGGGTCAACCGGAAGCGAGCCTTGTGCTCCCCGGGTTCAGCTTCTGGCTTCAGCCCTTGCGCGTGCGTGGTGCTGTCCGCCGCGCTGGAGACGTGGTGGGGAGCAGCCAGGCACTTCCGCCCTGAGCCTTGCCCAGGTTCCACACAACAAACCGGTGCTTTACGCAGTGTGCAGGCATGTTGTGTAGTTTGTAGAAGGTAAAAACTGAGCAGGGAGTGGGAAGGGAGTGACACATGCGGGCAGGCGTCCCTGCAGAAGGATGGACTTGGTGAGACTGAGCCAGGTGAGAAGCTGGCAGTGCAAAGGCCCTGGGGCGGGAAGAGGAAGGCGGCGGGGTGGCCGCAGTGGGTGGGGCCAGTTGTGGCTTTGACTTGGCGGGGGTGGGGGGGGCTCGTGAACCACACAGTCTGATGTGGGTTCTGGGAGGGTGAAGGTGACAGCCGCGGTGGGAGTGCCCCGGGCGCTGAGCAGTGTGGGCCTGGGACGTTTGAGGCTGCACACAGGGTTTCCGGCCATGCCGGGTTGGGGACGTCACTGTCCTTTATCTGAAAGCAGGAGAGGGCAGTGGGAATTCAGGTGCCCATGGGCTGCGCTGTCGCCTTCGGCCGAGCTTGGGCTCCTCGGGCAGCTCCCGAGGCCGGCCTGAAGCCCCTGCCCGAGTGCGGGTTTTCTTTGCTGGGTCGGACGCCTTGCTCCGCGCTCTGGTTTCCGGCCATGCCGGGTTGGGGACGTCACTGTCCTTTATCTGAAAGCAGGAGAGGGCAGTGGGAATTCAGGTGCCCATGGGCTGCGCTGTCGCCTTCGGCCGAGCTTGGGCTCCTCGGGCAGCTCCCGAGGCCGGCCTGAAGCCCCTGCCCGAGTGCGGGTTTTCTTTGCTGGGTCGGACGCCTTGCTCCGCGCTCTGGGGAGCTTGAGGGTTGAGGGCAGACCCTCGCCCAGCGCCGACGCCGCCTCGGAGCTCGAACCCAGGACCCTGAGTGACAGCCCTGACCCTAGAGCGGCCTTGAGCAGCGCCAGGGTGACATCCGCGCCCCAGGCCTCCTTGGCCTGCTGTGGGTGGGGCGCAGCCTCCGGGTGGCCCTGCCTTCCTCGTCCCCCTGGACGCCCGGGCCTGGCGCTCTCCCCGCTCCGAGCTCTCGGTCCTGTGGAGCATCTGCGATCGCCCTCTCTGCCCCTGGGGCTCCTCCTTAGGGTCCGGCCCCAGCTTGACTCCGCCCCTAAGTCACTCTGGGCCGCTGCTGCCGCCCGGGGCTCTTGTTCCCTTGGCACCTGTCACCTTCTCCTGTCAGTGCGCCCCGACTGCCCGTCCCTGCCGCAGCCGCTTTCCCGGCGGCTTCACCGTCCTGTTTCCCTTGCAGTGGAAGACGCCCACGCGGGGCTGCTCCGGGGCGGCAGTAAGCAGACGGTCTGGAGGGGCTACCTGGTACGTCAGAGCGGGGCTCCCTGCTCCAGGATCGGCGCCTCGGAGCCTGGGAGATGGGCTGCGCTTAGAGTTGCTCAGGGAGGCTCAGGGTGAGGGCCGCGTGGCCCGAGCCCCCTCCGCCTGTCCCCGCGTTCCCCTCCCTCGGGAGGGTCCTTCATCACCTGCCGCCGCCTCCTGCCGCCAGCCGACCAGCGTCCCCTTCCCACAATCGCTGTAACTTCCCGGAGGAGCCACACAGAGTAGCAGAGCTGATGAGTTAGGCGGTCGAGGACACCCTGTGATGTTTTCATGTATCTGACAAAAAGTGCTGAAAATATTTTGAATCGAATTTAGGACATTGAGGCAGCCGTGGCAATAAAAAGTCCTTTGCTTTTGATTCCGTAGTTCAGTATGGCTCGGGATCGGCCCCACGGCCAGGTCTCAGAACCCCTGCCCTCTGCCCTGTGATCTTGCGCCCGCCCGAGGAGGAAGCCAGCCCCTTCCCCTCCCCTGCGTCCACCCTGGGCCTCTCCAGGCCGGGACTCAGAGTCGGAAGGCGAGGTGGCTTCTCCCTCTGCCTCCCTAGACGACCGATAAAGAAGTGCCTGGGCTGGTGCTGATGCAGGACCTGGCTTTCCTGAGCGGATTCCCGCCAACCTTCAAGGAGACGAGTCAGCTGAGGGCCAAGCTGCCGGAGAGCCTGGCTGCTAAGATCCGGCAGGTGAGCCGGCGGGGTCCAGAGGTCGTGCGCCCCGTCTGCTGTCCGAGGGCGGGCCTTAGAGAAGGGCCTTATCCCTTCCTTTGCACACCAGACACACCAAACGCTCTGCCACTGGGCTACAGCCCCAGCCCTTTTGTTTCTTATTTCGTGACACGGTCTTGCTGTTTCCTGGGCTGGCCTTAGTGGTCTTCCTGTCTCAGCCTCCTGATTAGCCAGGAGTACAAGCAAGAACCTCTACTCCGGCCACTTTGTGCTCTTAATTTGGGCAGAGCGCTAACACAGACCTCACAGGTTTAGCACACAAACCTCTAGCACACGGGAGGGGTCTCCACCTCAGACACGTGACGTTGGCACCAGCGGGGGGACGAGGAGGAGGGGCACAGCTCGCAGAGGGGCTGGGCACAGGCGGCACCGGCCTGTGTGGAAGCTTCCGCCCCATGGGAAGTGAGGGGCGAGGGGGCCTCTCCGCCATTCACTGCTGACTGAGCAGCCAGGTGTCAGGTGCACCCCACAATCCCAGCACTGGAGGCTGAGGCAGGAGGATCGCTGGGAGTTTGAGACCAGCCTGAAGACTACGTAGTAAAACCCAACTGAGGCACTAATGTGTTTGGAGCCGACACTTGTTATATTCGGTACATGTGAAAGCACTCTTTTAGGCTTGTTGTGAGGAAAGGAAACGCTTATTCCAGTAGACAGAGATTGAAATCAGGATTCCGGCCACTAGCTGGGAAAAGCCGAGTTCAGCTCACCCGTGAGTGGATGAGCTGACCCAGGAGGTCCTTGCACTACCTGGGAAAGGCATTAGGCTCGCACAGGTGGGGTGCAGCGTTTCTGATCCAGCCCGGGGACAGTGAGCGCCAGTGTGCAGACAGCCTCAGCTCCTGCCGCGGTCTGCGTTCCGGTGAGGGTCTCGCAAGCCAGCCGGGGCCAGGTTCCTGCGCTGCCTCGAGCCCTGTCCCGCATCCTGTGTGGGGGCTCCGGTTCGCACCTCACCGGCAAGTCCTGGGCGGGGTTAGGACGCCCAGCCTGCCAGGTGTCAGGAAGCCGAGTCACAGCGCACTCAAGGACCGAGCTAGGTGAAACAAGCACAGGGAGGGTCACGGCAGGAAGGGAGCGTCTGGGAGACAGAGCCCGCCCACCCCCGAGGTGTTTCACGGAGCAGAGCTGTGAGGGGAGGCAGGAACGGGGTGGGACACAACTAGACGGCCGGAAAGGCTGCGTGAGTGGGGCCACTAGGCGAAGCCGCTGAGGGGATCCGGTGGGGCCAGGGATCCGGGGGGTCTCGCCCGTCCAGGCGGTTGCCGCAGGGTTAGGACCTCTGGATGGGGTGTGGAACGGGGAAGCGGGGCCCGCAGAGAAGGGGCTCAGCCACACCTGCCCGGCCCAGCTGCCTCCCATCGCTGAGCGGCTCAGTGTCCACGGCACTTTGGGCCCAGCTCAGCTGGGCTCCACCGCCCCCTAATCTCCAGTCCCCTGGAGTGAAGCTTCCGGGCCTGGCTCCAGGGTGCCCATGGTGATCACTTGCAGAGAAGGTTTTTTTTTTTTCTTTCTTTTGAGGCTGGGTCTCCCTGTGTAGCCCAAGCTGGCCTCGAACTCACTGCAGTCCTCCTGCCTCAGCCTCCTGAGTGCTGGCATAACAGCTGCACCACCATGCCCGACTAAGATTTTCTTTAAAGACAGCACTGAGGACAGGGCTTTTCTTGGAGCTGGGAGGGTTTTGCCGAACCAAGCAGCAAAGCAGGAGGGCAGGGCAGAGAGGACAGCCACCTAGGAGGGGCTCGGACCAAGGTCGGGGCCCGGAAGTGCGTGTTTTCAGGAAGCTGAGGCAGCGGCTCCTAGGGGCCAGAGTACATGCAGCGCTCAGCTGGGAGGGAGGAGGACACAGCCCACCTGTTTTGGGGGCCTGGGAGGGGCTGGGGGATGATGTTCAGGTCCCTAGGGGAGGGGACACTGGGGACAACAGGGAGGACACCACGCAGCCTCGGACGGCCGTCTCCACACCTGCAACCCCTGTCGAGGGAGGCAGGGCCGGTGATGGCCTCGGCCTGCAGGGTCCTCTGTGGTCCTCCTGGAGGCCCTGACCACCCCCATCAGTGCTGTCCCGGCTCTTGGACCGCGGGCCACTTGTGCTGAATGAGTGCAGGAGATCTGCCCCTCCCGCCATGGCCTTGCCCAGGTCTTGGTGCTGTGGGCTCGCGTGACCTTGTGCTGAGTCCTCATGCAGGTAAAGCTTTGCCTTGATGAATCCTGATTCTTTGGTTTTGTTTCACTGTTTGTTTAGTTTGTTTGAGCCAGGGTCCCACTATAGAGCCCAGGCTGGGATTGAGATCCTCCTGCCTCAGCCTCCAGAGTCCTGGGACCTGGGATCAAGGTGTGCACCGTGCCTGGCCTCTGTGTCCTGCTGCTTTAGGCAGGGAGGGTGGCACAGGCTCAGTGGGGCAGCACGGGTCCCTGCACACTGACCCTAGAGTCCGTTCGGGGCCTGTGTAAGGGCACAAGTCCAGTACAGACCAAAGTCCAGATGCTCCAGAACTTGGGGTGTTCTGAGTGTCCACGAGACACATTGGAGACGTCCACCCCGACCTCACGGGAAATTTTTAAATATCGTATAAAGCGACTTTCACCGTGTGTACAAGAAACAAGTTAAATCGGGGGTGGTATGGGTGCCTGAGATACCTCACAATAGAGAAGTAGTCCAGAACCCAAGAATGAAAAGCTTCTGCTCTCCAGCAATTAAGAGAAGGGATTTTTGTGTGTGTGTGATTTTAATCTTTTGTTTATTTGGAGGCAGGGTTTTGCTCTGTATCCCAGATTGGCCTTGAACTCCTGGAGATCCTCCTGTCTCAGCCTCCCAAGTGCTGTGCGCCACCACACCCAGCTCTGAGGACTCTTCCAATCTGTCAGAATGTGCACAGGCTTGCAGTCTTCTTCCTGAGCCGTGGTTTTCTCCTGGCTTGGGCTGCGCTCCGGTCCTGCCACCCACTCTGCCGGGGTCTCGCCCTGAGCCCGCGGCTCCAGTTGTCTCTCCTGCTGTGGGTTGAGCTGGCCCTGCTGGCCCTGCTGGCCTTGCTGGCCTGGGTGACGGCTGGCTGTGTCTCTGTCCCCGTCCCCGCGGCATCCTTGCCGGTCTGAGGTTGTTTGGTCTTTGAGAAGCTTCCAATGTGCAGGACTTGGATAAACGTCCTTCCGGGCAGGATGGGGACGCCCAGCTCACAGCCCAGGCGGGGACAGCCATGTGTGGTCGCGCTGGCCCCCAAGCGTTTCGGGGAAGCCCTGGCCGCCCTGCCCAGTGCCCCTCCATGCAGGCGGCCTGTGCTGGTCAGGCACCGCTGCACAAGTGCAGGTGCCCCGGGGTGGGCACTCCGGTCAGATTCTAGTGCCCGAGTCCCCAGCTGTTGGCCAGCGCGCATGTTCTGTTTGCATGCAGACAGTCGAAGGCAAATGAGTTGGTTGCTGTGGCTGCACACGCCTGCCAGCTCAGTGCTCCGGGAGGCTGAGGCAGGAGGGTGTTGGAGCCCAGCCTGGGAAACTTGGCAACTTAGCAATAAAGATTTTTTAGAATAAAAAACAGGCTGGGAATGTAGCTCTGTGCAAAGGCCCTGGGTTCAATCCCTAGTACTACAAAAAAAAAGTTAACAGGGAAGAAGTGAAGTCACCATTGGAAAGCTGGGGTAATCCCATGTCGTGGGGTGGTCAGTATGGACCTGAGGTGTCTGGGCCCCCGCTGCCCCTGCTCAGGTTCCCTGACATCTGCCCCGCAGCTGCAGCTGTACTCTGAGGCCAGTGTCGCGCTCCTGCAGCTGAACAACCCCAAGGGCTTCCAGGAGCTGAGCAAGCAGACGAAGAAGAACGTGACCATAGATGGCAAGGAGCTCACGCTCAGCCCCGCGTACCTGCTGTGGGACCTCAGCGCCATCAGCCAGGTGTGCTGTGGCCGGCGACCCTCCCGCCTCAGCCTCCCGGTGCTGGGACCTCAGGCGTGTGCCGCCTCACAGGCAGCGTTTTCTGTGCCTGTAGCTCCAGCCTTGAAGCCAGCCCGAGCTCCCGGGGCAGAGGGCGGGCAGTGGGGCTGCAACCTAATGCGCAGGTGTGGCCCAGTCCAAGCAGGACGAGGA